AAAGTGGCCGGGGCATTCTTAAGACCAAACGGCATGACCGTGTAACAGTATAACCCCTGATCAGTGACGAAGGCCGTCTTCTCCTGATCTTTCTTCCATAAAGGAATTTGATGGAAACCAGAGTAGGCGTCCATAAAGCTCATCAAAGCATGGCCGGCTATTGAGTCGACCAGGTTATCAATTTTAGGCAGAGGGTAACTGTCTTTGGGGCACGCCTTGTTTAAGTCTGTGTAGTCTACACACATTCGCCAGGTGCCATTCGGCTTTTTAACAAGCACCACATTTGCAACCCAGTCTGGGAAGTAACATTGCCGAATGAACCCTGCGTCAAGTAATTTTTTAACTTCGGCGGCTGCCGCCTGACTTCTTTCTTCGCCATGGTTCCGCTTCTTCTGTCGTACCGACTTCTTTTTCGGATCCACGGCCAGTTTATGTACCGCCAGATCAGGACTAATGCCTGGCATTTCATGAACTTCGAATGCAAAGATGTCCTTGTATTCTTTCAATAGTTTGTAAAAGCCGTCACCCAGGACTCTCAGAGCAGTCGTCCCAACTTTGACTGTTCGGTCAGGACGCGAGTCGTCTAAGATCAGGTTCGTATGCTCACCAGCCGGCTGAGGGCGGAATTCATCCGACCGCTCCTCTGCCAATGATTGCTATTTTCTGTCTTTTCTTGCGGCCCCCGTCTGGGCTGCCTTTCTCTTCTTGCCGCCTGCTTCTTGAACAGGCGCACTCTCCTTGACATTGTCAAGGTCTGTTTTTCCACCACTTGACCTAGTGGCCATAACAGTGGGCTTGACATCCGAGAGATAGCACTCTCGGGCCATCTTATGATCTCCCCTTAGGGACCCGACTGTTCCATTATCCCTCTTAAACTTGAGCAACATAAGAGATGGGATTATAACAGCCTTGGAATTATTCAGGGTTGGTCGTCCCAGAATCATGTTGTAGGCCGAGAGTTCTTCTACTACCAGGAACCGGACTACCATGTGTCGTCCTTCCCCTTTTTCGCCCAGGCGGATGGGTAAATCCACTCGTCCCACTGGGTGGACGACTCCTCCTCCAAACCCTACTAAAGGGTGGGATGCCGGATGTATGCAATCAGTATGATATTTTAGTTTCGACAGACATTTGCTACTGATGAGATCTGAGGAGCTTCCGGTATCTATGAGGATTCGGCCAACTCTCTGGTTGGCCACTTTACATTCAATAACGATAGGGTCGTCATGCGGCCCTCTTACCCCTCCTAGATCTTATTCAGTGATGACAATCTCAGGAAATGAATATTTGGAGGGTCGTTCTTGGTGAACGGAATTTACATCTAACCGTCTGATATTGTCTTTGTTGCCCCTAATAGTGGGGCCGCCTCCTGAGAAGCCGCCTGCAATGGTGTAGACGACTGCATCATCTATATCGGAGCTGTCGGCCTATTGATTCTTTTTGGTCGACTGCTTTTTTGAGGAAGTGTTCCCCGTAGATTTCTTGACATAAGTGTCAAGATCACTTTGCTCAGCCAGGCGGTCCAGATACCGCATGAGACTGATGCAGTCATTGGTGTGATGACCAACATCTTCATGATAATCACAGAATTTTTCTTGGTTCCGATTGTTTGCAGAACCCTTCATGGGGACCGGCTTCTCAATTGAGATCCGTCCCTTGATTTCCTTTAGGATAAATTGGCTATCCTTGTTGAACGCATACTTTGGGGAGTATGGTTTGAATTATTTTTTCTTTTTCTGGGCCGGCTGTTTAGAGGAATCAGCCGCCCAGACCTCTTTTCTCTTCTCGTCTTTGTTTGACGACTGTTTCTGTCGTCCTTCTATTTTGTCAGACCTTTTCCCGTCTGACTGTTTTACCGTACTACAAAGATCAGTCGCCTGTATATAGGCTTCCGCTTCAATCAAGGCCTCTTGAAGAGTCGCCACCCTCTTTCGGACCAAATCAAATTTGAAGGTCGACCCGTCTTTGAGACCTCTGAAGAAGTCAGTATAGGCTACTTCATCCGGTAACCCTTGAATCTGTATTCTCATCAGGTTAAACCGCCTGATGTAAGAACGAAGCCCCTCCTTCTCGCCCTGCTGAATTGTTCCTAAATCAAGGGTCGTCTTCTTCGTAGGGATGTTCATGGCGAAGTTGGAGGTGAATAAGTAAGCAAGCGTCTTGAAGTTATTTACACAACCAGTCGGCAGGTTGCCGAACCATTGTTGTGAAATTCCTTTGAGAGTCGCTGGGAAACACTTGCACCAAGTGGGATCATCCAACCCTTGAAGGTACATCAGGTTGGTGAATGCCATCAGATGGTCTTCTGGGTTAGTAGTGCCGTCATAGGCGCCTACTAATACATTTTTCACTTTGGCCGGCTGAGCGGCTTCAGTAATTTCCTTGGAGAAGGCCGACGGCTGTTCACCAAGTCTAAGCAAACGTAGCTGCCAGTCCATAGGTTGGACATTTTTTGCTGCATGTCCACCAAACGGAGGTGGCTGTAAAAAATACTGTTGTTGCGGTACAAACGGTAAGTTTGGTACCGCCTGGTCGCTATGAAAGCCGGACTGACGGGAGGTGCCGCCTGACTGACCCTCATGATACGACTGAGTATGCCTCATCGAGGTATTTCGCAGACTGTCTTGGAAGTTTGAAGTAGAGGCCGACTCTAACAATCGGTCACTCTTCTTCTGCTCTAGCAGTAGCCGAGCGTCTGTGTATGTTTTCCTCGACCCGTCCGCCTGAATATGACGAACATGTATCCTATTTCCTGGAGTAGGAAAACGGTATTTTGTGAAATCAAGGGCAGGTGGCTCCCACTTCCTAGATTTAGGATGAGGGGTCGCCTCTCGCCCTTGAACTGGTTTCCTCTTTAGTGAAGTGGAGGGTTTCTTAGCCGACTGCTCCTTGTCCAGAGCAGGCGGCTTCTTGTTGATCAACTCTTGAATTTCTCCCTTGAAGTCCCTCATGAAGGTCATGAGTTCGTTCCTTGTGATGGGAGCAGACCCATCAGTCGGCTGCTGCCGAACAGGCGGTGCGCCTGCTGGCTCGCTTCCTGTTTGAAGATGTTCCCGTTCCCTCCTTTCGGTATGACGGGTACGTCGGGCCCTTAGGGTCCCGTCTGAAGCTGTGTGAGCTTCAACTTCAAATTCATTCTCAGTATCGTGGTCCGACTGAACTAGAGGGTCGTCCAGGGGACGTCTCTCTTCAGGAGCCGGTACAAACGTGGATGCCATCTCAGAAGTACTCTCCCCACAGACGGCGCCAAATGTTTCGGGGTTTTCTGATGTCCTGCGGGAGAGTTACAATTCCGAGACTGGAACCGGACGCCTGTACCTGCAAAACTAACGGATGCTCCGGATGATTGGAGATCCGCCTCCGACGGTCAAGTTAGTACTTGATTAAGGAGTAATTAATGCGGAATTAAAGTGATTGGGTCTCTCTAGGTGAGAGTGTTTAATGTGTGTAATCTGCGTTTTTTGCACGTTCCCCCCCTTAATGAGGATTAAGGGAGGTATTTATAACCTCGGGAAACGTGTCAATCTAGGTTTAGGTTAACCTTGGGCTGATTGGGCTTCCCTCGGAAGTTGGGCCTAGGTGACCGGTTATCCCAGGTGTCATGGGAAGGACACGTGTCGTGTCGTAATTGGTCCATGGTGGACGGATCATTGCTTGACACGTGGCAGGCTCCTATTGGCCCATGTGACGGACACATGGCGGAACCTGATTGGTCCACTTGTCAGATGGTGATTGGTGGGGAAAAATCCCCTAATCACTACCCAACCGGCCATTACACTATGATAAAGAGCACTTTCATGCATAAATTATAGACATTAATGTTGAATTGGCACCAGGATTATAACAAAAAGGATTCTTTTGAAATAAATGAATTGAAGATAAAATATTAATTGTGCCTTACATTTTCATCGATATTACTTGCATTAGGTCAAATGTAAAATTCATGAAATCAAATAAATGTATATTTTCCTACATTATCAAAAAAAACAATGGGCAAATGATAAAATTAATGACATAGAGTGTTGAAGTATTTACCTATGATGGAGATAAAAGACAAACAACCTATTGAACAAATGAATAAAAAAATATTCTAGGAGATTGATTTAGAGTGTGAAAATTATGACACTAAGATGTTGTTTTATATAGAAAATAGAAGTGTTACCCATAGTTGTTCCGAATATTAAAATATGAAATGATAATTTTCAATTTAATTTAGTCAACCATTTTACATTACCAAAAAATTTGTAAAATTCCCTATAAAGCTATGACAAATTTAATCAGCAATTTAGGTTTTTTAGGATCCCATTTTAATACTTTCTTATAAACAAATTCATTTATGATGTTGGATATTGTAAATAATAAAATTATCATATATTACAAGTATATTACCTTATACTATCTGATAATATTAATACTTTTAGGTTTCTTTTAAAATATTTGTAAGGGATCTAAAATATTTTCTAATAATAATAATAATAATTTTCCTAACAATAATAATAATAATAATAATAATAATAATCTTAATAATAATAATAATAATAATAAAACATTAATATGTTTTAAAAAAAACATTAATATTGATTAAAATAAAAGTAGAATATTGAAATAATTAAAATAAGTTCAGATCAGAAAAAATAAGTTCAGATCAGATCAGAAAAGATAAGTTCAGATCAGATCAGAAAAAATAAGTTCAGTTCAGATCAGATCAGAAAAAATAAGTTCAGATCAAATCAGATCAGAAAATATAAGTTCAGATAAGATAAGATAAGACCATATCAGATCAGCTAAAATCAGGTGAACTAAAACAGGGCCTTAGATCCTAACCTTTTTTCCCTAGCTTCAATATGTATAATACGTTGAATTGTTCAAGATTCACTTTGAAAAAATTATATAAATCATGAAAATTATGTTGATCCTATTAGCTCTACAATAATTACAAAAATATATATATTTTTTTTAAAAAGCTTACAAGATTGAAATAAAAAAAAATTCCATGCAAGTAAAAAAACTTCAAAACTTCAATTTTTTTTTTCTTTTGAATATATAGATACTATGTACAACACCAAAGCTTATAAATAAAAGAAATATATACTACCTCCGTTACAGGTTATGTGCAACGACTTGACATAAAGCAGAGAGGTAAAATGTCTAATCGTTACGCATAACCTGTAACAGAGGTAGTATAAACCTTTACAAAATTACAATAGTCTTAGCTAAAGTCTATACATATCCCTCCCTAACTTCCAGATTCAAGGGAGGATTTTTTTTTCTTAACAAACATATATAATCATCAATAACAGATAGACAAACCAAATTCTCACGTACATATTCTTCTATTTCCGAAAAGGAAAAAAAAAAAATTGTGCTCACTATATATGCACTAGATCATCATGAACACTAAGCAGCAGACGGGGCGGTAACATAATGAAGAACACCAGCCTCCATGAGTGCCACCCTGAAAGGTTGCAATGTCTTCCGAGCCTCAACTTCCGATTTGTAATCAAGCGATTCATCATTGTATATGTCAAACCACATTTTCTCCAGCATTTTTATGTCTTCTCTATCCATGTTCTCTTCTTTGCCTGTATACCTCCAAGGTTTCGAACCCTGTTTGTCAAAAGTTAAGGGTGATTAATAACATAATAAAATAAATTAAAATGGGTCGGGTTTTAGGTGGGTAAACGGATTCAATCTCTCGAACAATACCCACCATGTTAAAAAAAAAACTAATTAAGGGTAAGATAGGAATTTCACTTACATTTGCACAATAGTGAACGACTTTGACTTCTTCTAAGTTGATGTTCTCTGGATGGCGCCATAACATGGCCAACACTAGGTTGTAAATTGGTGGGATGGGCCTGTATATGTCCTTGAAGTACATGTTCAAGAAATCCTACACATGTAATTTCCATAATAAGTTAATATTAATCAATAGTTATTATAAATGAAATTAACAATATAATAAGTTAATATTTAATCAACAGTTATTATAAATGAGATTAACAAATAAATCATGTTCAACATTTGAATCCTACCAATAAATCCGAAACTTGATTAAGAACATGTTCTCTTTAACTTTAACATATTTGAAAGTATTTCGACTTTCTTTATTCTAAACTTATAAGTGTTAAATTAACTTTTTTTAAATTAACGTCTTATTAGTTATTATAACATATATTGTCTGAAATAAATATATAACTCGATCTAAAGTAATAAAGATGACCGAAATCCACAACCCAATTAGTTACCCAATTCAATTCACACTTCATTCAATTCAACCCGATCATTTAATAAGGGTGTATGAACGCACAAAATTAAAAAATTACCTGTTCAGCAAAAGGAGTAGGAGGGGTGATTTGGAGAGTCTTGAGAAGATCATGATAAGTAGAGATACTAGGCTCATACACAAACATGCCAGCGTTGAAGTAAAGAGCAGGCTTTGGGCCTAACTCTTCTTCGGGCCAACGGACTTTATTTGGGCTTTGTTGACAGTACCCAATCTTGTATTGTGGAGTATGACTCCATGTTTTCTCACAAAAACAGTCCATTACAGCATAGAAATAGCCGTTAGGAAGATCGAACAAATGGTCTATATTATCGTACACTTGTATATCTCCATCTAAATAAATCATCTTTGTGTACTCCACAAACTGAAAACACATAAACAATAAAAATTCCATCAGATCAATTGTAGACACCCTAACAATTAATTTTACCAAACATCTATTTGACGTACTAAAATCTAGAAACGAAGATTGTATATTTATATTATTATTACCTCCCAAATGCGAAGCTTGGAGTAATTGATGACATAATAAGCCATAGCAAATTGGGTCTGATTTTCGGGCGGGTAAACGGGTTCAATCTCTCGAACAATACACCCTTGAGAGACCAACATTTTACGGTGCTCCTCCGGCACGTCGGGTAACACCGCTACCATCAAAGGGTAAGCTGATCGAGCCTTTCTTAGGCCCTTAGCTAGCCCAATAACTCCCTTGACGTAATCTCCGTTACCGGCCAAGAAAGTCACATAGGCCCGGCTCATGTGCTTCCCTAGTGGTGCCATAGTTGGCTCTGTGATCGCGGTTTCGAGGTTTGGTGGTGCCATTTTTTGTTTAATAGGGAGAATAGGTTGAAAAAATGTGCAAGTTTTTTGTGATTTTTGAGTGAAATATGCTTAGTTTGGTAAATACAAGAGAGCTTAAGTTGAAGTACTTGAGATGAGGTTGAGGGAAATGGGTTAAGGGGGTATATATAGAGTTAAGGGTCTCTTAATGATGCATGAAATTTAATTAAGATAAAGTAAACCGTCATTTTATAATATTTTAATATTATTATTAACCGTCATTTTAGGATTATTATATTGTTTTGTAATTTCTTAGAGTCATCTAGTGATACTTGACTTTTCATGAAGCTAAGGTTTTGTTTGTTTTTTTGGTAAAATGGATAGGCGTTTTACTAGCTTTTACTTATTTACTTAATTAAATAAAGTTATCCAAATTTGTGAAATTTATAAAAATGTTCTTGTCATATCCATTTTCAACTTGATCAACCGATTTTGATAAGGTTAAGTCATTAATTAGGGTATTATATTTCATAAATATCATTTGTTTTATATATATATATAGTGTTAAATTCAAATTGAAATAAAAAATTATATTATTAATTAGGGTTTGTTCTCTTACGTTGAAATTCAGTTCAGTTCAACTCAGCTCACCTTAGTTCAGTTCAGCTCAATTCAGTTCAGTTCAGTTTAGCTCCTAATTTCCTTCTCTTATAAAATATTCAGTTCAGTTCAGCTGAGTTCAATCAATGAGAACAGACCCTTAGTTTTACTTTTGCACACTGTATGATTGTATTAAACAAGTATTTTTGTGTGGAAGATGAGTATTACTCATTCGTACTAGTTAAGCTAGCAAGCTAGGCCAACCTTTATTTAAATGTAATGAAATCTACACTGTTAAAATGTACGGCGGCGTATATTTATTTCGAACTTATTTCTACCAAGATAATGAAGATCATCATAAATTTTATATATGTCCGTTTGTATATGTATGTGGTATGAAGTACCCACCGTATTCTTAATATTAGTGTATATCCAATATATACGTAGTTTATATAATTTTCGTTCTTTCATATAGAATTATGAACGATAAAAACTTGAAAATTAAACCAAAATAATTACGTATATAAAAGTGCTTAAATATAATCCCAAGAAAGGAGTCATAATTAAGTAAAAGTTAAGTTAATATTCTCCAAATAATCCAAATGTAATACTAGAACATTCTAGCTTAAAATCATATATTACCAAAAATGTCGGGAAAGGATGGAACATCCTACGTAATGGAGCAACTGTAGTCATTTCGTCTATTAGTTAAAACTTAGAATTTTGTAGCATATAATTCAATTAAGTAAAAGCTAATTGGTTGGTAAAAGGAAGAAGCTAGAATCTAAAAATTGTATGGTTATCTTACTTTGATTAGCTGGCGCTTGATTATCATGCATGCTATCCTCTTAGAAAGAAGAAAAAAGCTTGGATCTTTACAAAGTATATCCACCAAACGTACATTCTGGGGATCTAACGATGCATCGCGAAATCTAGCTAGCTGCGCATGCAAGCCATCCACGGGTCGCCATCTCTAGCCATACACCCATATGTATCAAGTCCTTCGGAAATAAGAAGAAGAATGACTAACATATAAAATTAAATTTGCAGATAAAATCTTTTGTACTTGTATAGTTGTATGTTATAAGATATCTTCGTATAAGATAACATTAAGTCTTGAGTACTTAGGTTGTGACTAATTGTTTCACATTGATTGAATGAAGAGGAGGATGTTTAATACGTAGTATAACGTATAAGATTCAATTATTATACTTGTAACCAGTTGGTTATTGATTTTAATTAAGAAGGAATATTGATAGGTTTAATTTCCTTCTATGATATAATATATGGCGTATATGATATGGCTATGTGTCTATGTGAGGGGCAGATTGACAGATCTTAACTGAATTAATTGGAGGGGTTGGAATTTAAATCTATAAATTCTCACTCAAAACTAATTATTACGCCGTGATAGGTTTTAATAACTAGTTAGTCAAAATATTTAAAGGGGCCGGCCAATCCTGATTGGCCCCTGTGGTAGGTCCTCATGTGTAGAGGTAGACCCATTGAAAATTTATCATATATTCAATTAATTCAACTTAAAATTTATACATTAACTATATTTTGGATGACTACTTGTAGATAATCCTCCGTAATGCTGTATTGCTGTAGAGACTCTTAATTACATGTACAAGTGTCTTTTAAAACTCTTAATTACTAAATGAAATGTGTATGAAATTATGCATGGCTCTGATCCATATTAACTATGTAATTAATGCTCATAATTTCCAAAGACACAATCATAAAGCAAAGCCACAAATCGTGCTATGTTTGACGCATAATTTGTTTGTTTACACCATTGTATGTTTACATGCATGATCATGTAATAAGATGTTGAAAAAACGTGCAAGTTAAGTATGAATATAGAAATTATGATCATGGATAAGGTGTTTTGGAAATTTATGCACAATGCACGACATTTGCACAAACTTGTAATTGCAAGTAATATGAGACGGTGATAGTGCTAATTTTTTAGCCCAAACTTTGTTCTTTTTGTATCTCTTAACTAATTTAACATATTTTTAGTCCCATCTAGACCATATTGCTGATATATATAATGCACTTATAAGTATATAATCACCTACTAGCCAAATACCTTATTAAGCCTTGTTAAGAAATTCGATGTTACAATATCGTATAAGCAAATAAATCACACACAAACTTTTATTAATCAATCTTGCTTAAGCAATTTTGATAGAACTAATAAGGTGAATCCTGACTACTACAAGCACATAGATAGATTATAGGGATCTCTAATCTCTTTACATCGCCAACTTCCCTCCATGTTCCATCTTAAGTACAAGCAAAGCAAATTAAGCTGTAACTAAGATTGGAGTCTTGGAGGACAACCATACATATGCCCTAAATTGTAGTCCTTTCATTATATTTGCCTCAATAAGTATATTTAATTACTTATTTAATAATACTTGTATTTTGTTTGATCGAGTTAAAAGAAATTGATATAAAATTATTAAAAGTAAAATGTCCTTACTAACTTTATCCTTCAAATTTTAATTCTAATCCACGCCCCTTATACCAAACTTGCCTACTAGCATTTGAGGAATAAGGGGACTATAAGACTGTGATTTTCTTATGTAAATTTTACAAACATTAGCCAAAGTGAATCAAATGAGTACGTAGTGCAATTGATACTTAAAAAAAAATAGAGAAAGTAACTTACAAAAAAGTGCGGCTAAACTTAAAAAATTGTAAATTTACACGTTCTCACCTTTTTTTTAATACATCACTTTGATTTTATTATCATTTATTCAATTGCATCACTTTCTTTTATTTTATCTATATACAAACTTTAATTAAGTATTACTCGTATTATTAATAATACATAAATGTGATTTTTATTATTTAAAATATTACACAACATTGAACGGGATACAAACAGACTAAATAGTAATACTAAAACAAATAAAATTAACCGCCGCTTCCCCCGCAATTTGATGATCACGAAGAACACGTTGACGATCCGTTTTATGAACACAAAAATACTGAAATTTCAAGCCTAGTTGTTGAATCTTACGAATGAGCCAAAGGTAAGCCATAACACCTCGTCCATCCCCCCGCAGAAGAGTAACCAGATTAACGGAATCAGTAAAGACCGTGACAGAATGCAGCTTTTGATCGAAAGCCCATTGAAGCCCGTACAAGCAAGCCAAAGCCTCTACATGTAAAGGAGAAGAAGCAACCCCGAAGTTACTTCCTCCAATAATGCGGTCATCCAACGGGTCATCATTATCCAAACACCAACCCATCCCAGCATGTTGAGAGTCTTGGAACCAAGCTCCATCGATTTGAAGATAAACAAAGGAAGTCCCGACAGTAGTGCGATGATAACTTGTTATTTGGCATGATTTTAGGGTACTTTTGAACCTTGTTTTCGTTATTAATCGACATCAAAGTTCATGATTTATCGTATTTTTTATGCATCTTTTGTACTATCCATGCTTCACGGGTTTGCTAGTGTTTTGGTGCATATTTAGGTATAAATATGGCACTTTGAAGCTTTTGGACAAAGAAGAAAAGAAGTTTGAGACAAGAAGAGGAAATAAGGGAGCTATGGAAGAATGAAAGAAGCAAGAAAAAGTGTCCAAGAGTGAAATAAAAGCATTTGGAAGGGTTTTGGAAGGATTTTTTCCTAGGAAACTTCAAATGACCATAACTTTTTTTCTACTCAAGTTTTTGAAGTGATTCAAATTGGAGATTAAAGTTCATCTCAAGAGCTTTCCAACGACTACTTACATGCCTTATTCCAATGAGTAATAAAGAAGTTATGACCTTCCGAAACGAAACTATTTCGCCAGAAAGCCGATTCTTGGTTTCTCCGTCCTTTTACTTGGGGGTTATATAATATCCCTTTAGCTTCATTTGTAGGGGGGATATTCTTAGTTTATTTTTAGCTTAGGTTAGGGTTTTTAGAGAGAGAAACTCTCATTTTCTAGAGAGAGAAAGTGAGAAAATCTTGTTGAAAGCTTGGAATATGAAGAATTGAAGGAAGGAGACTTGAAGATTTGGATACTCCTTGCAATATCAATGAGAATTTCTTACTCTCTCTCCTATTTTGTTATTCTATTTACTTATTTTTGTATCTTTTCATCCTTAATTACTTGTTTATGTTAGATTAGTGTTTGTTTCATGTTCTTAGTTGTTAATTCCTTTAGTTTTGCAATTTATTATGATTTGTGAGTAGTTCTTTTACTTGGGATTGTTGAAATCATTGATGAATTCACAAATACTTGTTTGTATGTGTTGATTTAGCTAATGTGGGATGTTAATTAGTTGAGCTTAAGTGGTTTCATTGTTAGTTCTTGTAAGTGGCCATTGCTAGAACTATTTATCTAAGCTTTCTCAACGAAGGATCGAGAGATGAACTTGAGTTAGCTCCCTTATGCTTGATTGACCCGAAATGCCATGAGAATAGGAATTTCCGATCAAGGGAATGTTTATGTCATCGTGATTATGCTTTAACACTTGTTTTATGCTTTGTAACCACGAGAGTAGGTTGTATTCATGATTCAAGTAATCCCTCTAGCTTGAGAGAGTAGTTGGGTGC